ACCTGAGATAACAACAGTGTTTTCACTGAGCTGTCACTGTGAAAGCTATTCCCAGGAACTGGTTCAATTTTAGCGAGTCTGCATTTTCTGTCAAAATAACATTTTGTCAAAAACCTCCAGACTGTTTCTCATCCAAAGCCTGCTCAAGTCAATGAAAAACATACTTCTTCAGGAGAATTTAATTACTATTAAGAGTACCAGAATGCAAGCATAACCACATTAAAAATTTGCTCTCTTGATGGAGGTTTATATTGGTGTTTTTTTGTTTTTCTGGACTACTGAAAATTAGGAATGGGGCTACTGGATAATGATCTGGACTTCCTCTTTGAAAAATGGACTATGAGAGCAGTCCATCCATGCCTGCTAGAAAACATGTGTTTCTTTGGTTGCTGCAGCAGTCTAGCAAGGGGCAGGCTGTCATAATGGACAGACATGACCACAAAGCAATACCCTGGTCAGATGTGTGTTAATAAAAATTCGCTCCTTTTTTTTTTTTTTTTTTTTTTTTTTAGCAAAGCAAAATAAACCCTCAAACAGGAGCACAGCCCTTTCCTCTTCCCTTGAATCTTTTGGCTGATAGAGCATCAAAGATTTTAAAGATGACTGAAAGAAATTCAAAAGGAAACAGTTTCAACACCATGGGTTTGTTTTTTTTTAAAGAGTGTCTAGTTAAGAATGCATGACAATAAAAGACAAATGAAATCACCTCTCCACCTAACTCCTTCCAGAGAATGCATGTGTGTGCTCACACAAATATCTTGGTGAGTTATTAGCCTGGAAGTCACTCAAGTCTTAGAACGATCCAATTCTCTTGAAAAGAAGAAGAAAGTAAAGCTGCCAACTTCATGCTTCAAGTGGAACAATAATCCTGAACTAAGAGAACAGCTTCCAAGTCTTCAGATGGCAAATTATTTATCTGCTGACACAGAACAATGCACACTTTGTAGTTGATGTATGAGGTTCTCTATGTGCACTGCATTAGAAAGGAAGGGGGTGTGGAGTTATACAATTATACTTTTTTATTAATGGGGAAACACCCGCTCCCTCAACAGCTTTAAAATCTATAATTAGTCACAAGGGAATCCAAATGCCTTTGGCAGTCCCTTTTGAGGTGTTTGACTGTTTTGTTACTCTGACCAAAGGATGCTGCTGGCAAAAGTTTTCAGAGTCAAAGCTCTGGGATTATCTGCCAGTCCCCAGGACAGCTCTGGCAGAGTGTCCCAAAGGACCCCAATCAGTGCACTCCAGTTGCTTTTTAATTTTTTCCATTTTTTTTCTATTTTGTGTTCTCTTATTTCTTTAGCTTTTTATTTTGACTGTAAGTCTTTAATGTGGGGAATCCTGTCTCCAAGACTGTCTGTGAAACACCTTTTTACCACAGTGCTGTTGGGAGGATGGCAGAAACATGGTTTGTTTCTCAGCAGGGAAGAGCCATTTTTGAAAGCCAGTCTTTGTTTTAGGATTGCCAAACCTTGGCCCTGAAGCTGAGGTAACAAGCCAAGGCTCTGCCTAAAGGCAATTGCTTTTGGGCTTTCATTGCCTGAAGGCCTCTCTGAGCTGAACTGGGCTCATTTCTCCCAGGAACTGTCTGAGCTATCATGACTTTGCAAAGTCACCATAAAATAAAATCTATATAATCAGCACTGGTTATCTACAGCCAAAAAGACTTTGTATCTCAGCACGAAATGTTTGATCCAGCTTTGAATTGCTTTAACCTTTGTTAAAGGTAAGGTTTTTCTATGGACTGCTTGCATCCTTGTCTATGGCCAGTGAGTGGGTACTGCTGTCTGCAGCATCCTCAGGGCAGGCAGGATGCTGCTGCACGAATTGCCAGAGGCCAGCCCTGACACCATCCTTCCACAAAAAGCCCCCACTGTACAGATTTCCTCCACGGTTTGCAGTGCCAGGTTATGAGCCATAAGAAGTCCTTTGGAGATGTTCAGCAGTGCTAAACAAAATTACCTCCTGATGGGAATGAGTTCAGCTACGCAATCAATAAATGTCCTCTGTCTGCTCATCAGAGTGGTGACATTACCTGGCCTCTGTGCTGGCTCTGGCCCTGGAGGGGCCCAGTGCTCAGCCAGAGTGGATAGCCCTGGGGTCAGGGCCAGGGCACGTTGTGCTGCTGCTGTCTGTTAGGGAGATCAATACGGGACTTCTGCACCTTTCATTGGAACAATCCTCACGTGCATTTACCATGTGAAAAAAATCCAAATTCCCATTCAGGGCAGCATGTGTGTCCTGCCAGGTGGCTTGCACGGAGTGGTTCCTGTCTGGATGCACTGCCTCTGCTCCTGGAAGTTATGGCTTCTGCTGCTTATCCCTCAAATTGGAAAAGCAGCATGGAAAAACACCCCACAGTGCATGGGGGAATGAAAGGAAGAGCGAGGGTGTAGACCCCATCTTATGTTGAAGTGTGAATTACCTTAATGTATCCATTTCCAGAGAGCAAAGTGAGGTGTCTTTTAACCAAAATCCCGTGGGCAGCAGGAAGCCACTGTCAGCTCTTGCAGTGTCATTCAGAGCAGGAGAAAGCTTCAGGGAGTGCAAGACAAATGTGGTTTGGTGTTGGTGGTTTGCTGGTTTTTTTCCCCTCCCTGATCTAATGTTAGACTGGTTCTCATGAACAGTCTGGGGTTTACTGGTGCTGAGTTGGCAAGACTTTCTTTCCTTAAACAAGACAGAAGACCAGTTCCAGTTATATTAACCAGGCCAAATGTCAGTGAAGCTGATTAAATCCATTCCCTCGAGCTCAGCTCCCTTGGCTGTTCTTTTGCAAAGTATTGATTATGATTATTGCTGATTACCTTTTTTTTGATAAAGGTATTAAAAATCAAAATTTTATCAAGAAGTATTAGCTCCAGCAAAAGGAAGAAACACACACATGAAATTTTACACTGTTTTCTGTATTTAGTCAACCAGCTTGATGCAGTAAAAGAGCTTAAATCAGTGTCTTTTCAGAGCCTTTGCTTCCTCGCTTTAGCACTGCAAACACCTGCAAAACCCTTGGCAAATATCTAATCAGGACCTTCAATGTGGCTGAATGGCAGGACCATTCCCAGACTTCACCACCTTCAGTGGCCCGGCCAGGGATTACCAAAGTTGCTCTTTGCCTTCACTTTCTTTGAGCTTACACAATCTTGCTGTTAAGCACATTGCAGAACAGCCTGGTGACTGATGAAATACCTTGCAGAGATGACAGGACACTGCATAGGTCTTCACACTGCACTCTCCCAGGAGAGGGGTGCACATTGCAAAGGGCCAGGGTTTGTCAGCAAACTGCAGAAGTTTTGACTGACATATTCATGCTACAAATGATGTTGTGATCTGACGTGTTAAACAAGGAAAACTCTGACCTTGAACTGAATTCAGCTTTGCATTCAGAATGGTTTTTCATTTAGACCCTAGAAATTTTTATCTTAAGAGCTTTACATCCTGTGCAACTGGGATCCCAGCACAGCAGAGGCATTTTGTGGTGCATGCTCAGAGTAGCAATCAGAGCACTAAGCCTAAGAGAGAAGTTTGGTTTGCTGGCACCATGGAAGGCCTCCTGGCTCTGTAGAGCTCTCTACAGATAGGTCTTGTTCTGTCAAAATAGAGGTTTTGGCACGCAGCTGTGCCTGTGCTGTGCTGGTAGGACCAGCTCTGCTGCAGGCTCTCAGCAGGAGCAGAGTGTGCAGGAGCTCAGCTCAACGCTGGCTCCGCGGCATTTTGGATTGTACTGCTTCTTACACCCTGCCTCACCTGGGCCCTTTTGAAGGTGCTAAGGTGAGGAAAGCAGCATTTTGCCTCCTTGGAGATACGTTTTTGGGGACTAAGAAGGGAAATTCCTCAGGAGCAGGAGGTTGTACAAAGGGCTGACGTGCTTTTCTGCTTGTGTGCCAACCTTGCCCAGCTGGTGACATTTCCACACACGGAAAGTGGGCACAGAAGGAGCTGAACCTGATATTGTGTTTGTTCTACCATTGCTGCAGGTCACTGTTTAATAAACACTCCAGCTCTATGAGAAGGGGTTTATTCTTCTCCCAGCTGCAGGTTACTGCATGTTGTAAGATGATCAAGCAGGAGCTTTGCCCTCAGTAAAAGAGGGACAGGGCTACCTAGTTTGGCCAGGCACTTCTTTCAGTAATTTTTAAAGAGATATTCTGTACTGCACTTATTTAAAATGTGGCTAAATTGTTGGCAATGAAACAGTTCAGTTCTTGCTGCAAGGTATCTCTGCATATGTAAAATAACACAGGGAATTCCATGATATGCACCTTAAACTGCCTTTTTTTTATATTCAAGTAGTATGAGCATGTAGGCACTCAACTCCTAAGAGGTCAGGCAGTCTGAAAGGGAAAGATTTTCTCTTAGCCTTGCATTCTTTCCTTCATTGCTTCCCTTTCCACTAATCTCAGTCACTCCCTGATGTCTTTGCTGCCAGCTTCATCTGTGCCAAAAAGTAGTGATGCAGAGGGAGCAATGCAGCCCTGTGGCCACCAAAGCAGTGACAGCACCTGTCAGCATGGCTCTGCTGAGCAGCATGTGGCTCTCAGCAGACCTGGGACCTCTTCCAGGAGCCATGTGGGTTGTGGTGTTGAGTGGAGCTGTTGCAGGTACTGTGGCAATGCCAGGCATTGACAGATCCAGAAAACCTGATTCTGAACTTGGAGGAGAGTGTGTGCCTTTCTGGGCTTGGATCTGGTAGGAATCTGATTCCCAATCAGCATGAAAGCATTTGTGTGTCCAGTGCCCTGAGTTTTGGAAATCTCAGCCTCTAACTCTCCTTGGTGTGTGTCAGTTGTCCCAAGTGAGGCAGTGCCCTGGGACAGCTGACAGGGTTCACTGAACTAGAAACTTGACCCTCAGTAACTCTTTTTGGACCCTGCAACTGCTTAGCAAGTCTTCCATTTTAACCAGTGCACTCATGTGGCACACTTTTAATCCTTCATTGCTTCTGAAGAACGGTCATTTAAATTGAAATCCTGCCCTCAGAGGAGCCAGTGGGAATTCTGAGCTGCCTTCAGCCAGCCCCAGCTCTGCTGTCCCCACAAGGGCACCGAGCGAGCAGAGGGGCGAGCGCAAAAGAGAGCAGGGGGTCAGCAGGAGGAAGTCAGGGCTCTGAACTGTGCATGAAGCTGCTGCTGCTGCTGCCAAGGGCCTCCTGCCAAGGAGGGGAACATGCCCTTTCCATGCCCCATGCACACAGTCTCTCCTTGCTCAGCGTCAAGGCCACAGCGTACCCAGCGCTGCTGTGAGAAAGCAAAATAGGCAAGTAAACAGCAGCTGCCTTTAGCTCCCAACACGTCTCGGTTGGTTGCTCCTGTTTTCTTGTCAGGGGAGTGGTTCAGCTAAGGGAAAGGTGATTGAACCATTACCAGAAGGGAAAAACACCTATTAAAATTGAAATAATTCAAAATACTGGAAGTGGTTCCTTTATGTGAGCATACCTGTTCGATTTGGCCACGAGCCTGTCCTTAGCAATCCTTTTTTTTCTCTGCTGCTGACAAACCCATGTTCAAGAGCTGCAGGGTCATTCCTGACCTGAAGGGAAGGAGAGCAGGAGAAGTGTCCTGGTCTGTACTGATGCACAGGTGAGTTGGGAGAAACGGTGACAGTGACAGGATGTTTGAGCCAGCTGCAGGGATCTGGAGGCTGTGAACACTGAAGGATATAAGAAAAGAAGGGAATGGGATGCTGAAACTGAGCAATGGAGACTGTAGATCTAAATGTCAGGGTATATTTCCTAATAGTGATTTCTGTCAAGTTGTTGGATAATCCCAAAGGGAAGTAGTGGAAATCTTGTACATGAAGATGTTTCTCAACTTGAGTTTTGATGAAGGCAGCAGAAAATACATACTTACATAAAAACTCAGTTGAACTAGATAATCTCAGAGTATTTTCCCATCTCTAAAGTGTGATTTATACTATAAACACTGCCAGACCCTGCAAACTAATCTGTTGTACTAAAAGTGACTCAAACACGACTGCTTATATTTTTATACCCCTCATGATGTTAAACATTTGGTTTGCCAGGATGAGTGGGAGTATCCAGGACACACTTTACTGTGAATGGATTTCATGAACTATAATTACTAGGCAATAAATCCATACAAATGGGAAATGTCTCAGGCCTTGTGCTGGATAGTAGGAAAGGACAGGACCTGATTGTTTTGGGGATCATGTTTTTGTGTGAACTTGGAAGGAATTAAAACACCAATGGTGCTTTTGAAGGGCCAGTTAGGGCAGGGGCCACAGATTTATTCTTTACATTAACAGTAAAAAATGTATTTGCACAGCTATTTCTTGGATGGGAGCTCTCACAGAGACAGCTGGTTTTAATTAGGCAAACAGATGCAATAGCTGTGCAATTACAACTTGATCATGAGCCCATGGAAGGCCAGGGGATCTTTAGCAGTCTGCACTTAAACTGCTTGTGTTGGACAGGATTAGACCTGCAGATGAGAAACCCTGCACTCACCACAGCAATCCTAGGAGGCTGCTGAGAGTAGGGTTTATTTCCCATGGCAGACTCCATTTGTGCACCAACATTCCCAGTTCTGATTTGGTGGTGGGCACTGGTGTTGGGGTACAACCAGTTCATTGGCTCTGCTGTCATTTCTTCCTGTTTTCAGTGTGATAAAGGATGAGAGAATGATTTGTTCCCTGAGCAATTCCCTGGCATCATTTTAGGGGAGAGTGCAGGTATTTCTTGTTGCCAGAGGAGTTTGCTACTCATCATTACAGAAATTATTACCAGTGGTAATTATTATAATACTCAAAAGGAGTTTTGTATTACTACAAATGGAATTTTAAAAATATTTTCTTGCCAAAACCAAACAAAAATACAATCTCAAATAAGGATCTATGAATCTGTGACTGTTTGAGGCAGAGATCCCCACAGAACCAAAGAACAACCTGGGCTCATCACCCCAATGAGGGCAAAAGTACTTCTGGTTTTAGTGGCAACACAAGGGCTAAGCTCCTACAATCTGTGACTCATTATTCAGTATTTAAGTATTATTTTCCTCTCCCTCTTTTTTACAGAGGATATGCAGGGTGTCAATAGGTGAACATACATATGTGCATATCTGTGTGCATGTACAAGTGTGAGAACATATACTTACAATTACTTTCCAAACAAGTAATTATAATCTCCCAACAGTCCAAACTCTGCATTATCTTATTGTCATCAGCCATTGGGCTGCAGGAGAACAACAGCCTAGCACTGCTGACAAGGACAAATTCAAACTCAGCAAAGGAAAGACAGGCACTTGTTAATTCAAGCAGTTGTGGACACCTCAGCTTTACCTGCCTGTCACAAAAAGACATTAAAAGCTTCTGCAGAGGGTTCCTGTCCCCCCCTGCCACATCCTTACGTGGAGAACGGTGCAGAGCCTGTTCACTCTGCCCAGCAGGACTGAGAGGAAAGTCTCCTAAGTCATAGTCCAGCCCTCAGGCTCTGGCTCTGACCCTGAAATAGCAGCTCTGGCCCATATGAGGCTGGGCCTTTTTGCCTCCTCACTCTGTTTAACATCACTGACAACTCTGTGGAGGAGGAGCTGCCTCTGGCATGTGCAAGAGTGCTCGTGAAGCTCTGCTCCGCTGATTAAAACATGTGCAAAACAAACTGTGTCAGGTTCTGCCCTTCTCTTCCTCGGGGAAGTCTGCCCAGCCAGGCCAGCCAGCTGAGACCCTCTGTGAGCCTGTCCTAGAGAGGAGAGAGGCTGTGAGCCACTGTCCCATGGCTTGGAAGGCCACTTTATGAAAGGTGGACCCAAACTGTTCCTCCACAAACGTGGGTATGACTGGGTGGCTGTCCCAAAGCTCTATAATCTGGCAGTGTCTGGCTCGGTTTCTCTGTGTCTTTGTGATGCTGCTGGAGGAAAACCTCCAAGCTTCTGCCCTCAGGCTGGGCAGGCAGCCTGCCATGTGTTTGAGGAAATTACAGCTGCATCCCAGGTTGGCCAGGTTCCCTCCTTCCCCCAGCTGGACCTGGCTCTGGGGGGCAATGCTGCTCACATCTGGCTTGCAAGTGTCTGTCTTTTCTCCTCCTTCTCCTAGCCCCTCTAGTTCAGATCCCCAAATCCCTCCCTGTGTGTTAGAGAAGGGAATGGGGGGGTGTCCCAGCCCTTTCCTCCAGAGACAGCTGGGTGCTGTTTTCACAGCCCTGCTCACTCTAGTCTTGTCTCCTTCTGCACCCCCAGCTCCACTTCTGCCATGACCAAGACACAGCAGTCTCCTTTTATTTCTTACTCCTGTTTGAAACTTTCCCCTGACCACAAGTCCTTCCTCTGTGGGTGTCCTCACAAATTGCATTTGATGTGCTGTTTTAGGCAAGGAGAAGGTACCTGGTGAAAGGAACTGGTTTCACATGCAGGACTCACCAGACTCCACATTTGCTTCATTCTCTGCCACAAGATGTTGGGCAGATCCTTAACCTTCATTCCTACCTTTGTGATGGGAATCATTTGCAGCCCACTTCAAATTAGAGTGGGAATCCCTTAATTCCTTCCAGAATTACACCTTTGCTATCCAAACATCCAAAGTTTGAATTTCATTAGAAATCCTAGACCAACCTTTATGTCATATTGCTTGAATACTGAATTTCTTTCTTTGGCTAGTTGCTTTTTCATTGCAACTCCTGCTATGACTTTCCCAACACTGCCCTTTTTGTCAGTCTGTGTATTTTTCTGGTTGGAACTGTAGATCTCTGAATAAGCAGTATCAAGTATTGCTTTGAATATTGAGCAATTACATGACAGAAAGCTCCTCCACGAAGCCAATGAAATGGTCCCTGGTGCACATACAGATATCAACAGTGCTTTGGTGCTCTGTTCCCTTTTGCTTTATTAACCCTGGCCCTGTGGGCATTGAGCAATGATCCAGATTGTATCTGTGCTGCACGTACAGTGCATTCTGCTGGCCACTTCTAACCAGCAAGGCAGCACAACACATTTCTGAAGCCCAGAACTTTACTTGCAAACACATTTTCATCAATAACATAAATTATCTTATGCTTGCAAGCATCCACTTGCACTTTTCAGCCAAGAAATGGGCATGCTCACACTAAACTCAATATGGACAAGTTCTCTAAACAAATGCACAGTATCCTGCACCCTCTTTAGCAGCTTTTATCTGCAATTAGTTTTTTAATGCTTCTTTCAAGTGAACTCTATGGGATTTGTGGTTTCTTTTTGTGAAAATAAACAAGATATTTTCTTGAGAGGGATTAAGAGAATGGCAGGAAAAAGAGTTCTCTGACACTCTCATGCAGAAAAGATGATTTCAGTATCGTGCAATGGGCTTTATTTTTACTTCTGATGGCATCTTTGGGGCTTTGCTGGCTACATGACAGCAACAGATGAACAGTGTGTTACTCATCAAAAGCTACCTGGCACAACTAGCTAAAAAAAGAATAGAGCAGTGAACAAATACAGCAGAGAGGGAAGTGATGACAGCAACCACATTTCAAATAAGATCATCTTTGTCTAAATAGTGTTTTGATGAAGAGAGATTAAATGATGTGCTGGAATGAGTGCAGTGTGACTAATGAGCGGATTCACAGTTATAAGTGATAAGAGAGAAAAGTATCAGAAGGTACATAAACCATCAGGCATCTACACACTGGTGGATTGTTGGGAAAAAAATTTGCTGATTGGCCAAAGATATTGCTATTGGCTGGGGTTTTTTTATCTTTCTCTGAGATGTTTCAGCCCATTAGAACTATATCCAGAGGATACAAAGATGAAAATCTGTGACCAGAATTGTTTTGCAGCCGCTCCAGGCTATGACTGCACGAGCAAGATAAATTTGGGCTGATTTCTGACTTGCCCCAGTAAGAGCCCAGCTGCCCACTATGACACTGCAGAGGGTAGAAAGCATCTTCCCATGTTTCCATGGCCAAGGAAGCACACTGACATCTGTCCAAGGGGAGCAGTTTTCAGGATGGCGAAGTCAGAGGGAGTTGTTTGTGTATCTGTACTTGGACAGGAGGGAACAACAGGAACATCACAACCCCTCTGGTTTGCCAGGGGAGCTGAATTTTTCAATTATATGGTTAGTATTAACATTGTATTTCAAGTCTAAGCGTATTTCCTCATGAATTTGCCACTATGTATTAGGCCTCTTAAGATGGGTATAAATTGTATTAGTGACAGTTAATAATTAGTTCTATTTTTACAGAAAGTAAAACTGCAGCAGAAAAATGGCCTGGCAGGTGCTTAGCTCAGGGCTAGAACAAAATGAGTCCCCAGCAGCTGCCTAAGCAAGAAGCTTTACTGCTGGAGTCCTTGAGAAGACAGAGGCATTTTCTTCCCAGTAGTTTCAGATTTACATCTCTCCACTATTTTGCTCTTGGTGTTTCCTTGGCTAAGGCAGAGCATAACAGTGGAGGGGACTGAGAAAAGATTCTGGATGGCTGCTCCCCATGCCGTATAAGCAGTTTTTTCATGTGAAGTTGTTCAGATAAATACCCAGAGGTCACTGTCCACGCCGACCAGCGGAGCTCAGCCTGTTTCAGTTGGATATGGCAGAACTGGCCATAGGGCTCTCTCCGTGCTCTGTGCAGTACAGGCACAATCATGTTGGGATTGCAAGGCCTTGGAGAGCCCACAGCAGAGGGAAGATGGAGGCACAGCGCCTGGCAGCTCGAACCAAGCCCTAACACCAATCCTGAAGCGACCACACACAAACAAACCACCTTTCCTTTCTGGCGGAGATTTTGGCCACTGATCCTGATGGCATGATGCAAAGGATTCAAATAGCAGGAAAACTGCTGCAAGAGAGGGAAGAGGTTTCTGCATTTATCAGTTAAGTTGTTGTATTTCAAGACTTATCCAAAATCTAATGGATCAATGGGAATCCTTCCAGTAACTTCTGCTGGGAATTTATAAGGCTTTAATTAATGGTCTGGATGCTGTGATTGTGAGTGTTCCTCTCACAGTACCACTCAGAGCTGAGCCTCCAAAACAGACTTGAGCAAACAGGGCTCCTCAATCAACATTTTGCAAATGGCAAGAAATCAACTCACTTGGGGAGTTCTTGATAACAAATATTTGTCTCCAACTGTCTGAAAGTTGTCTACTATAAATGGAGGGTAAAGAAGCCATTTTTGACCCTGTTTCTGACTGAGTTCCAGCTGTATTAGGTTTAAGGCTAGTTTTCTGATAAGGGGTAAATATTTAATATTAAGAATAAAAATGTCTTGGAAATAAGGAGCTCCTAGTAGTTAATGTGAATATTTGGCACAGGACTGCAAACTGCATCTGACTTGGAGGAGAAAGAACATGCTCTGGTGTAAAGGTTCAGCTTCTCCTGCAGTTCTCATTTTCCCTTGGGGTGTACCAATCCAGCTGCTACCCTGATTCCCTGAGTTTCTTTTTCCTCCTTGTACATTTTGAGGAATCTGTGCCCTCTCTTTTTTGACCACACTGCTTATTTGCTGAAAAAATTCTGTTTGCCCACCCCATGTCTCTTCTCCAGCAGCCACAAAGTCAGATACATTCCTTAAAAGCCAGGCAGGGTTTTAGTAACCAACTAGTCAAGAGAGGCTGGTATTGAGTGGTAGCTTGTGGGTACTCATATACCTGCTTGCACCCACAAACAAGGCCCTGTAATCTTGGCCTTATGCTAGAAAATAACTGGGTTTTAAACTACAGAGCTGCAGACACAAAGCTGTGGCTGGGGCTGGGCTGAAAGAGCAGTGCCTGTCCTGGAGAATGTCACTTTGTTTACGACTGACTCTCTGTCCTTTCAGTAATGTGTGAGAAAAAGTGGTAGCATGTACTCTGTAGGAGTGTGTGTATATGTGTGTATACACTCAGAGACAGGCACATTTATAAACAAGCCACAGAACACATTGCAATGCTTGAAAACACTCCAGTGTGTCTATGGACATCTTGTTCTCTCCTTCTGTCCTTGAGGTATCAGGTTTCCTTGTTTACAGTCTGCCTGATTCAGGATCTGGAATTCCTAAAGAGCAGCAAAACCCTATCATGTGACTGAGGACTGATTTCCAGGAAAAGCGGAAGGGGTTCTAGGAAAGGTCCGTTCTCACGTTTTCAGTTGTTCTCTTCAAGAATACAGGATGAAAAAGATGAAGTCAACATTAAGTTCCTGATCCTCTGTCTCTCTGTTGAGCCTGGGATGAGATTTAAAGGAAAATCCAGGGCTTGATGCAGAGTTCCTTAAGCTCCACGTACTTTCCCCTCTTTTAAGGTTTACTGACATGGGACATTTCACACAGAAGTGGGATTTCTGCCTCCAGGATGTCAGTCCTCCCAATGGCTTCTTTGTCTTCTGAAGTGTATTTTAGCTTGTGCTGTCACAAGTGGTCATAACCCTGCTTGTGACACCACTAACAAGAACAAGGCTACGGTACATGTAGGGAGAACTACATTAACGTAGTAACAAAGAGCAAATAAAGAGGAAACTGCAAACAAAACCAACAGCCTCAAGGTCACATATTCCAAAAGCATCAATGAGAGCGTTCCTAAGCTTGTCTTGTTGGGCAAGAGCAGGACCAATGAACACTGATTACATGGGGTTATCCAGATGAATGGTGTCTGGGTCTCTGGTCTGGGCTAGCTTCGAAGACCCTGCACTATAACGTGGCTGTAGGGCCTCTCCTGACTGTGCCCCCTGGGTCCCAGACATCAGAATCCTTCTCTTTGTGGTGGGACATGCCTGACTCACTGCACTGTGTCAGAGTTTGTCCTGGGTGAAGCCCTGGGCCATGGGTCTCTGTGCTAGCCAGAAGGCTGATATGCTGCCAGGCTGCAATTCCATGGCAGTCTGAATCGAGAGATCTGACTTTTTTTTTGCCTGAGATCTCATCTGGTCTGCTATCAGCTTGGATCCAGCCTGGTGGATCAATGAAAGTTATGACACCATACAGATTTGTTTTCCAGTGGCATTGAGGAAGCAGTGTTGCAAGATCCTCAGCTCAGACTCAGAGTCTGGCTAATGGACGGTTGTGAAATTTCCAAAGGCGACAAGGGAGAAAAAAGCAAAAAGGCAAAAACCACTCTCCCCTGTGTTGCAACTCTAACTGCAATCAGTTGCAAACAATAATCCCCTCTTTGGACACTCAGATTCATTTGAGTTGGGTCCACAGAAAGTAATTTCTATATATATCAGCTGGATGTCTGACCTGAGGGTTAAACCAAAAAATATGCTTGCAGAAAAGTTGTGAATGCCAAATTCTGGCATGGCAGTCCAAGTTCTGCCTTTGACTAATATAGATTGTCTCAAAATTGTGAGCATGTTGAGCAATTGTTCAGGGGAAGAGATCTTCCCCATTCTGAAGACCCTCTATAAGATAAAACACCAGCAATAAGAACCAGAAATGGAAATACTTGATTAGAGAGCAACACTGTAATGAAGATTTTTGCTGTGAAATAACTCCTGAGACTGCGCTGGTGCTTCAAAGCATTCTTCCTCATCTTCTTGGGCAGCTGTTGTTTTAGTTGCTCTGTGTCACTGATAAATGACAGGGCTCCATTGCCCTCCATCAATGTTTCAGCTGCTTGCTTGACTCAAAGTGTGGACTACTGGCTGAAACACGAAGCTACAGTGTTTGATTAGGTCTGACTCCCACACTGAATACTCTGGTATTAGTGCCACTTCAACACCTGGACATGACATAAAGTCAGAAATGTTCTAATGAGTGTTCTGAGATGCTGGTGGATTATGGCAGAGCAGAGAACCCCCAGTCCTGGGCTGTGAAGGGATGTAAAGAGGGGACATTCAGACAGTCCCTACCTCAACAAGCCTGACAAGAGCTCAAAATTCAGAGAAGGAGGCCAAAAGAAGAGGAATCAACACAATTCGCACCTGGGAGTTGAGGAAATTCTGCTCCATCTCTTTCTCCTTTGAAGTGTGGATTTACAATGTGAATTCAGGTTCCCAGAAATCCCCCACAATATAGGCCAGAAAAAAATTGTTCTAATCCCCTCCCTTCTAAAGTAATTTAATTTCTCAGTACTGTGAAATGTCCATAAAAACATTTAAGATATTTTTAGTTCTTTTAAATGTTGGTTACCTGCATGATCATGTCATGCATACCATTGTATATGAACATTCTTTCTTAGTGGAATTTTCATTTAATTTAACTGAGATAAATCGCAAGAGGAAATGCTTATTAGTGATAGCTACACCCAAGAGAAGCCTCGTGAAGATTTTTTTTATTAGGATCATTGTAACAACAATAGGATTGTGCCATGCTGTGATGATCTAATGATCACCACTTCACTCACTGAGGAATTGCCACTGCGGGTGACCTTGCAGCAGTGGTGAAATGTAGCACAGAGCAGGCTCCTGGTTCACCTTCCCTTACCTCAGTGGGCCTGACCTCAGTGACCTTTCCAAGGAGGAGCTAAGCTGCTCCCTCATCTGAATCTGGAAGATCAGGTGTAAGAGCAGGCCAGAGCCCTTGATAGCTTTTCGTGCTGTAAATAATGTTTTATATGCAGTGTATCAACCACTGAGAGCAGTGCTTAACACCTCAGGTAGTTTTCCATTTTTCCTTGACAAGTACCTTGGTTATCAGTTCTGTATTTGTAACTGATGCTACATTGGACCCTGAATATCAAAACTAAAGCCAAAGGAAAATGACTCAGCATTTTCATCAGTGCTAAGCTGACTGACCCTGCACCAGTCAGGGCAGGAGTCTGATCCCTTTGCACTTCAGAAACTGCTTTGAACCATAAAATCAAATGGGGTCACATAGATAGTGAGGTGCAGAGTAAAGGTGTCACAATCTGGCACGTGTCTGCAGGGAAGTTCTCCAGAGGGAGGTACAATAGAAGGGCGAAGTGTTAACAGTTCTTTGAGGTTTTATTACTCCTGTTTTACAAAGAGCGGTCATGTGCTGTTGTTTTGAACTTTACTCATGTTTTTTTTTTTTATTTCCTAGATCTGCCTTTGTGATGGCCACTCCCAGAGCAATGAACCTGGAGGAAATTCATGCCTGAACTGATGAAGCTCAGTTTTATTCTCAGCTTCTCATTTGAAATATGAAAGTTTTTCTTCCATCTGCATTTTCCCCAAGGTGTTCCTAATTAAAGATCTGTGGTTAATTCTGGCTGCTTTGGTGTCAGCTCTTCCATGTCATCAGCACATATCCTCTTACTTCTACGATCAAAAAAACCCACATGTGAAATGTGCCAGGTTGACTTTCTCTTGCCTCATGTACACAGGTCCCGTGTTTAAATTCTGAGCCAGGTATGAATTCAGTGAACCAGGAAGTTGTGATAACACCATAGATAGGGACTATAGAAAAACTCATTTAAGCCAAGAAGAGCTGAGTCTGCAGCACCTGGTGCTGTTGAGGCCATGCACTAACCCCTGGTGCTGGGCTTGCTCTATTGAGTGGGTACAATGTTAGGTCAGTGTTAAGCTACTGAGGATGGTTTCTGTCCACACAGGGTGAGCACACAAGTATTATATGTTCCTGCATTTCCCATTTGTTTGCAAAAATGTTTTGGGACTCTCTTCTGCTTGTTGAGAGAAGGATTTTGATGAGCTCAGCCTGGTTTCTCTTTCCCCTTCCTTAAAGGATGGTCACAGAATGATATTTTAGTTCTGGAAAGAGAACCTTTTAAACTTTCCATGTCAGCTGTAGACTCTAGCCTCGCAGAATGAACAGTATCAGCAAGAGAGGATGAGGTCTGGGGTTATGAAAACAGCCACTCAACACGAATGAGTCCAAGAGTGGACCTCAGGAAAGCTCTGTGACCCTCCAGAGACAGAAGTGACATGCCTCCTCACCAAAGCACAGAAGCTGGCAGGGGCAGGAACAGCACATTTTTTGATGCATGAAGACTCCACATTATGATAACCTTCCCAAAAGAGGGGAAAAATAAAGTGTTTCAAAATGTGAGCCCAAAGGAAAAGCAAATTGACGTCTAACAAAAGGCTTATTTTCTTCTCCATAGAAAGGTATCTGCCACTTACTCGAGCTGGCAAGGCAGCGTCTCAAAGGCAATTTAACCAAGTTGCATAAGGCCTTGGCTGGGTGGCTGTAGAAATATAGGGCCTCTTATCTGAATAAGAGCTGGCCACAGCTGTTGCAGATCTTGAAGGAATTATTTCTGCCTGTCAAACATCTGCTTTGTAAGCAAACAAAGCGGCTGAGGCGCTAGTGGTGCACGTGACGTGCTGCAGCTCGTGGGGCAGAGCCAGCAGGCAGAAAATGGAAACTTGTTTTCCCCTGGTATCAGAAATATCATTTCCCATGAGTGTCTCAGATGGACAGATAGACCCTAAACCCTCTGTGTTATAGAGACCTGTGTCTTGTCTTGGGAAAAGAGCCAGTGTGGTCCAAGCACTGATCTCAGTGTCCGGTAAGATATAATTCATCTACATCTGTCAGGAACATTCTGACATATAGCCTGCAGAACTACATTTATCTGCTTTCTCACCACCCAGGAATCATTCCATATAAACATGTGTCCACCCAAAAAGGCTGATGCTAAAAATCAGGGTGTACGTTGGAGTCCTTTGACATTAAATATCTTCTTTCTCTCCTGTTTTTCCTCCCGTAGTCATTGCTATATTCTTCCTCTAGAAAACAGTCACAGTGCATCCTCTGTTAACCAAACCAGCTGCCTTTCTGCCTCTCTGGTAGTGTCCCCATTACCAAAACCCCCACACTACACAATAAATACCCTCTGGGATCCTGGCCATGGGGAGTGGGGGGTGACTGTACACTGGATGACCAGAACACTGTGCTCCCCTGTGTGTTTTTGGGCTGCCACCAGTCCCATAAAACCCCATAAGTGCCTATTGTGTTTCTTTACACATGCAACGTGAACCTGGGTCTGGAATATGAGCCTTCACTCTCCCAAAATGTAGATGTTGTGGGAGAACCCAGTCCAAATATAAGGACTGGCCACCATACAAGGATACTGATTTTGTGTTTTGTTCACTCAAAACTTTCCTTCTTTGTGCTCTACCAAAACCCACTAGCACTTAAAGAGGAGGATGGTGACTGTGAATAGATGAACAACCAGATGAATGAATGTAAAAGGTTGACCTGAGGTCTCTCTCCTCTGTTTTTCCCCTGGCAGACTACCAAGTGTTCCTGCAGTGTGTTCCTGAGCTGTTTATCCACGTCTTTTTGAAAATATCCTAGTTCAATGTGACACAGCTCCACATTTTCTTTATATGTATAATCAAATGCAAACAATTAAGATTGCCTAACTGATATCTGTGCCAACAGGTAACTACAGTTCAAAGGGCCTTTTACGCACTAAACACGTTGGACAGCATTTCCTCCACACCCTTCAAACAAAGTTATGGTGTAACATCTAGCAGAACTCTCCTGTTAAAATCTCCAGTTCTAGGCTGAGCTCTCAGGGCAACTGCCTGAGCCCCCAGGTGGTGAAGAACACCTCTAGGCTGAGCAGAAAATCAATGCATGACATTCAGTTTTCAGCTGAAGAGGTGGGAATGGATCCATTTCGGGCTCCATGCAAGGCCACAAAGCTATTGCCAGTTCTCTGCCTGTCAGCTGGAAGCTAACAAAGCAGTATCACCTTGCATTGAAGACAATCTTATCAAAGACTTCCAACTAATTTCCATTCCAGTTATGTTGCTGCAATTTTTATCTGGTTGTTCTCAATGACACTGGGCAGAGGAGGTGTTAATATAAAGAAAGAATGTGTTTCTGGTCGAAGCTTAACACTATAGGCAGAGAGAGTTGGGTTTTGTTATAAGCTTTGCCATGGACCTGGGTTGATTAGCATACCTTTGACTCATGGCTTTCAAACTGCAGTGTGGTGTGAGCAGTGACACCTAACTGTGAATTTGAAATCATCACGACATTTGAAGTTCTTTTTCTGGAAGATGCAGGTGCGGGTGGCTTGGCTACACTTGTCCTGGGAGAGATCACCTCCAAGTGCCTGCTCAGCCACTGCATTTCAAAGATTTGCATAGTCAGGTTTGTGCTCATCATTCACATGGGTAGCTGGGTTTAGCTTAGCTGGGGCTGGAGGTGGTGCTTGGCCAGACTTGTGTGAATGGAATGTCAGTCTTCAAAGAAAGGAGAGCAGCAGGGAAGGGACTCAGCCAAGGACTGGCTGTGAGATGTGGGGTTTTTCAACTCCCAGGTTCATATCCAACAAAGTTAATAGAAATCAGATGGCTTTCTTGCCATCTGGCAGCCAGTTGTTTGCATTCTATAGGTGAATTTTACTATTAAGTTACAGGATAAATGACTTCAACAGCTCTAAGCACAAGCTGGGAATGGTGAAGAAAACAGAATAAACTGCATCAACCTAGGGCAGTGGTGTGGTATTTTAAAGGAGTGATGTGTGGGAGGAATGAACTAAGTCATAGTCTTACAGCTTCCTTTTTTCTTAGTCTTATAGCTTCCTTTTTTAGCAGAGGAGGACAGACTTTACAACACCAAGGCTTCTTCCTGGGAAATTGAGAAGGTCAGAGCTTTCGGTCAACCCTGTGGTCCTTTCCATGAAACTGATGATTCAGATGCATCAGGGAAACTCACAGCCCTAACCACACATTTTCTTTGGTTTGAGAAGGCAGGTTAACCTCTCCATTAAACAAAGTTTCATTTATTCTTCATACTCACAGTAAAGACGGATGTGAACTCAGGGGAGAGGTAGAGGCAGTTTTACAGGATGGCCAGAGCAAGTAGTAAAATCACACAGTGACTTGTGGTTGTGCAGAGATCCTATAAAAACTGCATTAATGGTGTGCTCTGGCCTCATATCACCTCTTGCTTTTCAAAGCAATGCAGTACCTCAGCTGGTGGCCATTTCACAGTAGCCCATGTCTTCTTCTGTTCTGCAAGAATACAAGCCTTGAAATGCCTGAAGTACTCTGCCAACTTGAAAACAGATCCCAAGACACTTCACAGCTTACCAGGAGGAGAAAGGGGCTTCCAAATTTCTGCCCATCCCCTTCTCAGCCCTGGGCAAAGCTGTCATTTCCCCACAGGTTCCAGATTCTGCTTGTCAAAAGTGCTGAGGGACTGGTGTACTTCTGTCAAGGAGTAAATTAACAGACCTGGGCAGGACGCAGGGAGGAAGGTGACTCTTTTCTTGCAATTTCTCACTTTCCTTCTTCCCTTGTGAGAGCTGAGGGATGGTGGCTGCAGCTGTGAGTGGCTGTGACTGACTGACTGACTGACTGACTGACTGACTGTGAGAGCAGCTTGTTTCACCCTCTGGGTGTATTTGGAGAGCTGGATTGGCCCAGCTGAGCTGGAGCTCCTGGCATACATTTCTGTGTTAGGTTGTTCTTTTTTTATTTGCATTTGCTTTATCCATCTTAGTTTCCTGTTTGTCTCCACTTACCTGGAAACTTGTAACACCTCTTTTTGTTGTTACAACAACTCCTTTTCCATAGGATAGCGTTCACATTGTTGTCTGGCTGGAAGTGAAGTACCAAGAGGTTGTTTTGTGCAACTGATGACAAGAGAAAGGCTTGGCTGTCTCAACACAGTATTGGAGGAGCTTTTCTTTCTCCATGTTTGGTTTATTAATCTCTTTACATTTCACAGGGGTTATAGAAGCAGAATTGGCTGATGCAGCTGGCATGGTTCTTCCACGTGAAATTTTATGGCTGGGAGAAAATTTCTGGGCATTTTCAGTTGGAACTGCATGTCCCAAGTAAAGGCTGGGACTTCTGCAGTTGTTAAAAGGAATAAAAGTAAAAAAAAGAAGACAGAGTTTTTGCAGTACATGAAGCAGTAACTCATGGGAAGTGTCCCAGATTAAAAAAAGAAAACAGCAGCAGCACCACCCCCCAGACTGCTGTCATCCACATTCAGTATTGGCAAATAAGATTTAATCTTGTAATTATGTAACTGAGGAAACTGAGGCAGGGAGTGACCAAGAAATCATTGAGAGACCTTGGAATGTCAGCTAAGGGTTCAGGGTGGGACTTTTAGCTAGAACTGATGATTCTGGATGTCTCAGTGCAAGACCTTTAATAGAATCTGGTGTGTGGTTTTTGGGGTTTTATTTGTTTGCTGTTTTGGTTTTTTTGCATCAGCCCTGTCTGTGTACCCCATCCTGTTCCCTTTCTGCACTGTAGATGTGCACTCCTGCCTGTGAG